ACTTGGCGTCACTGTGGATGCTCTCAGCTTCTGATGTGTAGTTGAGGTGCCTCTTAGCAGACGGACACACAGAGCACAGGAGTCAACTACAGAAAAGGTATCAGTGGACACCAGGGTCACCTGCAACCCCAAAGCTCAGAGAGAAGAGACAGAGAGCCCTCTCAGAGCCTCAGAGACAATTTCTGAGAAGACTGAGAAGGCAGGGGCTGTGCTGAACCCATGCAGCTAATCTTTTAGCATTTTGCTGAAAGCTCTGACCAAGGGCAGAACGTCCCTTAATGGTCTTCAACTTGGGTAGTCATTTTTTGATCAGCACACAGGCCAAGGTCACATTGACACAGATGCGCAGGCCCTGGAGAAATGGACACAGACTTCTCAAGAGTTCCCCATTCTGAGGGACAGCCTGCTTGTGAGAGTGACTGATGACCAGTCATGGTCCACATTGATACTGAGAAATGAACTAGGGCATTGTGGGGGGGTGGAGCCTTCCTTCTAACACACTTGTCAGAAATGAATGAAGACCTACGTTCTTGTCCCAACACCCACACAAAATATCGGGTGCACTGGCGCACAGTAGGGAGCCCTACCTTTAAGAGGCTCAGAAAGCATTCTAGGTGAAGTGGTGAGCTCCAGAATTGGTGGGAGACTCAAAAACCAAGGGGAAGGCCAAAATCCTAGTGTTGACTATGTGTCCATGAACATGTGGAAATGAACACAGGTGAAAACACACACACACACACACACACACACACACACGCACACACACCAAATCATAGAAAGGTTTCAGCAACTGTTCCAGATGGAACTGTGGCTGTATCACACTCAGCCCTCACAGCCAGCTAAACATGGACTCCTTATTGATAGTGGTCACACATATTCTTTCTCTGCCTCGAACCAGAGTTTATTTTTAATGTAATTGAGTTTTTATGCTCTATGCAATATCTAACAAATGGTCATAAACACAGACCTGCACACCATTGACCAGCCCCATTCAGAACCAAAACACTCAGTGCATTTTCACATGGGCTCACATGAACTCCAGATCCAGGAAAGCCACAGCAAGCACAAAGCAGCAGGCGTCATCTCAGTGGCAACCCTGTGTCTCCAGTCCTCTCTCCTAGCAAGTCTTGGTTTAAGTGCTGTGGCCTGTCATGTCCTAGGAGTGGGGCAGCCTGTCAGGTCTGGGGTGGGGGAGGCATGAGCTTCACTGCCTGTTATGAGCACTCCTGCTATCGAATGACAACTACAAGGAATCCTTATGTGCAGTAACTGCACTAGCCTCAGCATGGAACAGAACAGTTCTGTCTATTGCAGACAGACTTCTGTGCCCATTTTATCTGAGCCACACACAGGAAGGCAAGAGCACTCCACACTAGCTAGCGCTGTCTTCCCACTAACACTGACAGCATTGAGCAAATAGAGGATGAGTTACTTTTATGACATTCCTGTCTAAAGCACAGCCTTGCTACAGAGCACAGGCTAAGCAGAGGCTTTCCTACACAATGACGTGAGGATTTGAACATGGCAGCGGCCGCCTCTCACATTACACTGTTTATTCTAAACATCCATTTCATGTCTACCTGCGGTTGTCACTGAAGTCCTGAAGCTGGTTCAGTCCTGTAATGACAGCACCTGCCCTGTGCAACCTGACAGCAGCTTCTCTTCTGTACATCACAGCATCCTGAGGGTCACCATCATCTACACAGGCTTCGTGCAGTGCTTTACCCGAATCTTCCTTGAATTTGTATGCTAACTAATGCAGTTTCCATTAGCGTTTTCAGAGGAAGGGTCAGGAGACCACCACACAGAGGAAAGCCTTGATGCAAAGACCATTATTAGACAAATCTGGGAGACAAAGGTACTATTTTCTGCTTCCAGGTCTTGGACCAACATGCAGGTACAAGAACCCAAAGAGTTTGTTGAGAGAATTCATCATTCTGACATTTCTCCTGCTTCAGATCCCTCCCAGTTACCTGGAAGTGGTAATAGAAGGAGAGGTTCTCATACTGTCAAAATTCCATCCACCATGAGAGCCCAGATAACAATTTACCCAGAAGGAATAGCTAAGACAGGCCTGCTTACACCCCACATCTCAGAGGTCCTTCAAGACATTTCTGAGTTGAACCAAGGAGATAAGGACCAGCGTGAGGTAGGTGAATGAAGGCACAGCTCCACCCATGCCCTCTTGTCATGAGAAAATGACATTGTGCTGAGTGATACTGAACCCCTCCTAATGAGAGAGGATGAAGCAATTCACTCTTCATTATTCCTGATTCCACTGTCTTTCATGATCAAAATGTTGAGAAAGTAATGTAAGAAAAGAGGTCACTGTTCTGCCTCTGTCTCAACAGTGATGTGGACTCAGCTGTCCTAATTACAGTCCTAAATAAGACCACACCTCAGAAGCTCAGTAGGGTAAAATGGGCTTGAATCCCTGATCTCAGTGTTTTGTTTTTTTTACTTTGGGTCTCTATTTTCCCTTCTGTATACTGCCCCTGCCTCTTTAGGCTGTGCCAGGAGAAACTACATTAACAATGCCAAATACAAGCCCCAGCACACACTAGCTGATTTTTCAAAATTATTCATTGCTTGTTTGTTTGCTTACTTACTTTTTGGCTTGTTCTTTCAAGGCAGGGTCTCACTCTATAGCTCTGTCTACCCACAGTGTAGACCAGACTGGCTTTGAATGCACAGAGATCCACCAGCTGCCTCTACATCCCAAGTGCTGGAATTAAAGGTGTACACCACACCACTGGCTAACATTGGCTATTATTAGCTATTATTAAATCATTACCTGGAGCTATTCTGTATCTCTTTTTTTTTTTTTAATTCTTTGTGTGTACTCTATAAGGTGAGTTTCAGGACAGCTGGAACTATTATACAAAGAAACCCTGTCTTCAGGGCTATGGACCCAGATATGTCCCCCATAGCAACACAGGCCAGGACCCCATCATGGTCCCAGGTGACATCACCATCTACTCACATCAGATTGTTCCTCCCTATCCTTGAGTTTCCAGCTCTGCCTCTCTTCATTATGTCCCCATCCTTCTGTTTCTCTTTTTCTTCCATTTCTTCCATTTCTCCACCAATTATTTGCTCTCCTTGGTAGCACTCAAGGTCTCTGAGTTTCTGGGGTCATCTCAGGAATGTTCTCAGGATTGCTATGCTGGCTTGTGCATGACAGCTCTGGACAGGAGTCATCTCGGGCATGGTCTGCCCCTCCAAGCCTGCGCAGTGGCAGATTGGTGATTATCTCAGGCTAATTCCCTGTCCAGGCCCCCTATCTAATTCCCTCACCTCACTCAGCATGCTCAAATGGCCACTTGTGCATATCTCAGGCTCATTTCTGGCCACGGTCCTTGGTCCCAGGCAGGGTTCTTCTAGTCTCCAGCTTGCTCTTCATCGCAGAAACCCATCTGGATCTGCCTGGTGCTGCACTGGTGGTCATCATAGGCTTGCTTTTTCCGGGGATTGGTAGGCTACAATCATCCGATGTTCTGAGGTCAGAAAACTGAGCACAGACATGGCCTTTCTCCTCTAAGCCACCTACTGACGCACATGTGACACAGCAGCCACTTTTTTTTGTAGCTTCTTTTTTTTATTTTTTATTTAACTTTTATTAATTACACTTTATTCATTTTGTACCCTCCCATAAGCCCCTCCCTCCTGCCCTCCCAGTCCCACCCTCCCCCCTTTCTGTATGCATACCCCTCCCCAAGTCCATTGATAGGGGAGGTTCTCCTCTCCTTTCTGATCTTAGTCTATCAGTTCTCATCAGAAGTGGCTTCATTGTTATCTAGGTTATCTCCATGGATAGTCCTTGGTTGGAGTATGAGTCTCTGGGAAGTTCCCTGTGTTCAAATTTTCTTGTTCTGTTGCTCTCCTTGTGGAGTTCCTGTCCTCTCTAGCTCTTACTATTTCACACTTCTTACATAAAATTCCATTCACTTTTAAGAGTAATTGTTTAAGGAGAGAATCTAATTTGAGAAAATGCCTCCATAAGATTGGCTTGTAGGCAGGTCTGTCAGACATTTTCTTGATTAACGATTGATGATAATGATTCAGCCCACTGCGGATGGTGCTAACCCAGGATGGGTGAGGCTGGGTTACATAAGAAAGCAGTCTAAGTGAGGCATGAAGAAAGGCCAGTGAGCAGCACTCTTCCATGACCTCTTCTTCAGTTCCTGTCTTCAGGTTCCTGTCTGCATCTCCTGCTCTGACTTTCCTCACTGATGGAGTATGATCTGAGTGTTGTAGGCTGAAATACCTATTCTGCACCATCACACCCAGCTAACAACTGTCATTATGTTCATTGTACGATGATGCATGAGGCAAGCACACTACACCCTCTGTCAGTCTCCAGTGACAGGAGACAAGGATGTGGACTGTTTTGTCACAGAGCCAAATTTGAAAAGCTCTTCCAACAGAACACCCACTCGTGTAAGCACATATATAGGACAGCTGCAGGTGAGGTAGCCCATCTCCATCCACTTCCAGGTTTCAGAGCGACACAGGACTCATCTACAGAGGAGGTGAGAACATAGATCTGTCTGTGCTTAATTTTGTAGCTGGTATTTCAGACCTTTGCTATGAGTATCTCCCCAACCCAAGCAGTCTTGTCTCCTGGCTTCCTTAGCATAGTCACCTTCTGTTAGGAGATGAGTACCATTGGGGCTTGTTGCACTATTTCTCTCTCTGTTTCACAGAAGGTTGGTGAAATAGATTGGTCCCGGGGCCTTGGTCATGTTAAATGAGTGCTCTACCATGCACTATATCCCCAGACCTGCTGCTTTTGAGTTCTCCAATTCTACATAATCCTTGACTTCCTTTGCAAACAAGGCAAGTATCAAATGAAAAAAAAATCACAAATTAAAAGAAGACATTTAATGATAATGATGGTTGGATAACAGAAGGGAGGCTCATTGCTAGTGTCCTTCCAAGAGACTGTCCCTTGCCCATAGTCGGCTTCAATTCAGGAGACTGTTCTCTCCACACAGGGATTTAAAAACCATTGAGGAATAAAACTCTGACTTTGAGCATGCTGTAAGTGGCCAGTGCAGCTCCCTGTCTGGTCATTAAAAAGGCCATCCTTTCCACATAACCACTGCACCTCAATTTCTGTGCAACTTCTCTCACTGATACTAGAGGGGCTTACCTATCTCAGCTCACTTTATCTTTCTGTTTACAAAAAAGAGTCCATTTGTCTTCACAGGTATGAACAAAACTCACCTTGATGACCTCTCCTCACCTCTAGAGGAGAAGTGCATTGTCATTGACAAGCAGGATCAGGTCATTGGAGCTGAAACTAAGAAGAACTGCCATCTGATGGAAAACATTGAGAAGGGTGAGCTGGAAGGACGATGCCATGTGCATCCAGGCCTGGTGCCATCACTCACTGTGAACGAGGCAGAGGGAGGAGGCAGGTGTCAAGTGTGAGGCTGCTGCTGCTGCTGCTGCTGCTGCTGCTGCTGCTGCTGCTCTTGCTGCCTTCATAGAGTGACCTTGCCATCAGCAGACAGTGTCACACAGACTGTGACTGCTACCTTGAAATGGACTGTGAAAGCCAAGAATTGTACCCAGTCAGGGTGTGGTGGTGCACACCTTTAGTCCCAGTACAGAGACAGAGGCAAGTGTATCTCTGTCAATTCAGCTCCAGGTCTCTATATGCTGGTATCTTGTCTCCAGAAAAGGGGATTGGTAGGAGCGACCCTTTGTTGTGAGCCTCCTCGGTGCCTCCTGTGTCACAACTTCCAGGGATAAGCAGTCACTCTGTGCCCCTGGGTCATCCAGATGCCTGCACAAAAGTAGCCAGCCACTGTTTCTAGACCACAGCTTTAGATTCACACAGTAGGGTCTAAGAAATAGAATTGTGCCACCAGCATGGCCGGCTTTGCTTCTTGGCTCTCTAGATTTTATGTTCACAAGTGGAGGAAAACTGCTGTGCTCACCTGCAGTGTTCACTGTGGGTCAAAGAATACTGAGTCAACAAACGCTAAGTGACTGGGGTGAATTCTGTCCCAGTAAGGTCCAGCAGCTAGTGCCAAAACCATCCTGAGCTGGAGGAAAATGAAAGGAAAAGATGGAAATGAGCACGGAGACTCTATAGTGACATCAGTGTGACCCTAACTCATGCCCACTCACCTTGCAGGCCTGTTACACCGAGGCTTCAGTGTTGTCCTCTTCAACACAAAAAAACAGCTATTGGTCCAGCAGAGAGCAGATGCCAAGTACACTTTTTCCTGGTAAGTCTCACAGCTCTCTCTCTGCCTCTTTTTGTCTGTGTGTGTCTGAGCTCATCAGTCTCACCCCAACTGAAGGTACAAGGACAAAAATTCACTAGCCTTTTTGCAACTGGCTCAAGGTATGGAATTTCATATTCAAATATTTGTGTGGCAAGTCCTTGTTGAACCTAGTTTATGCACCAACTATGGCCAGGAAGGAAACTGCCCCTCTGTCGTGAAAGGGAACTCTCACTAAAGCAGCATGTTGTTGGGCATTTTCCCAGGACATTTTACAGACTCCTGTTCTAGTCACCCTTTATACACGCCTGAGGAGCTGGAAGAGAAGGACGCTGTGGGAGTGAGGAGGGCCGCCCTGAGATGTCTTCAGGCTGAGCTGGGCATTTCCCAGGACCAGGTACCCACTCACTGCAGTATGGGGCTCAGTGCGCTCTTCCATGTGCTCAGGGATCCTTTAGTAGGTATCGTGTCCCATGACAGTGCCGTCAGTGTCATCATGCTGACTGGGATGGTGGCTGCTGGGCTAACATGGTTGTGCTGTCTGTAGGAAACAGGTTTCCTGTGGAAGTGTCCAAGCCTGGTTCACAGGATGGGCTGTGAAACAAGCCGAGTCCTGGCACTCGAGTGTAGTTTTCTTTTTCTTTCTTTACTCTATTATTTTTATTTTTCAGTTTTTTTCCAAAACTGAGTATCTTTGTGTAGCCCTGGCTGTCTTGGAATTCACTTTACAGACTAGGCTGACCCTGAACTCACAAAGACCTGCCTGCTTCTGCCTTCAGAGTGCTGGAAGTAAAAGGCCTGTGCCACCACCACCCAACCCTCCAAGGGTTTACATTTCCAATCTCAAAAGCAATCTTTCCCATTCCTCCATGTCCTAATGCTCAGAACTGTGTTTTGCCTCATGTTCTGTATACACATGGTCTCCATTGCGAATGAAAAATGCAACCCTCGCAGTCAGAAATTGTGCCCTTTTCACTGTGATCTACCTAACATCTAATTAAAGCTTAAGTCCTTGTGTGGCACTCCGTGGAAAGGAATGAACTGCTTTCTATCTAAATGTTCAGTTTCTCTATTACTGACTTAATTTAATACTCGATCAACTTTGACACAGATTTCCATAAAGGACATAATTTTTCTGAACCGAATTTACCACAAGAGTCCTTCTGATGACATCTGGGGAGACCATGAGGTTGGCTATCTTCTGTTGGTGAGGAAAGACCTCACTCTAAACCCAGATCCCAGGGAAGTGAAAAGCTACTGCTACATGAGCCAGGAGGACCTGCAGGACCTACTGGACAGGGGGGCCCATGGAGAAGAGAAGATCACCCCGTGGTTCAGAACCATCGCAGAAGGCTTCCTGTTCTCTTGGTGGCCTCATTTAGAGGATGTGTCTCCATTCATGGAGCCTGATAAGATATATGGACTGTGAGGACTATGGAAAAGAAATGCTCAACCAGGGGTTGGGGTCAAGAGACGACTTAGCCCTTAAAGGCACTTGCTGCTCTTGCAGAAGTTCAGGGCTCCATTCCCAGCACTCACATGCTGGCTCACAGCTATTCTCACCTCTGCTTCCAGGGGAATCTGACACTCTCTTTCCACCTTTGCATGACCCTGGCATGCACTATGTGGTATGCATACAGATGCGGTACACATACACATGTTTATGTGTAAATAACACACATAACATTTTGATTTTCTACAAACAAACTAGTGTTCATCACTAACCTATGTTTACATTGGCATGCATGACACAACCTTGATCTCTAATGTCCTTTAATTACTTGCACTGAACTAAATTTCAACTCTTCATTTTATCTAATTGCCTCCTTTCTCTCCATCTCCTACTGTCATCTATGGAAAGTATCACTTTTCTCCTCAAACCTCCCCTGGTGGCATCACTGTCCTCTTGAGTTCTGTCTCACTTCCTGTCTGCCATATGCTCCCCTGTCCAGTGCTCTGCAGGACCCCTCCTTACCTAGTGCTTACAGGCATAAGGTGCATGTGGGTTATATATGGGGAACAAAGAGCATTTTTAGTTTTGCTTGGGTTTACCGATTCCATAGGGACTGTTTGTGGAGCTAATGAGAATAATCAGTTACTTCTGTTGTACTTTCACCTTAGCCAGTTCTGACTCCAGTACAGAATACATGAAGCCTATCTTGCACACATCAAACAATGACAAGAATCAAACAGCTTAATGTTCATTAGTATATATCAGTGTGTATAGCCAAATGTTATTGTGAATATGCTTACCAACAATGACTAAAATTCATCTTCATTGTGTGAAACATATTAAAAGATCCAGTCATCAAAAAATTTAGAAAAGATAAATTTACCTGAGTTTTTTTTCATTTTTTGTCTAATTGAAAAAAAAAAAAAAAAACACACACACACTTCTGTTTCATTGCTTCTCAAACTCTTTGCTATCTGTACTTGTATTAAGTGCTTTTATTTTCTTTCTTTTTCCCAAGACAAGGTCTTACTATGTAGCTCTGGCTCTCCTGAAACTCACCAGGACCAAACTCAAAGATCTACTTCTGCCTCCCAGGATTAAAGGCATGTGTCAGTACACCAGGCTTAGGCAATATTCTTGAAAATTAAAAACACCAGGTAGAAGTTCCCTAATTCTTCCTTGAGTATGAATTCAGAGTTGACCAGAACTGACTTGGAGTGAATGGATTCTGATATTAGAACCCCAAGAGGTCTTTTCTGTCATTTCCTGTCCTGTTTCAAAGTTTAGAGTCAGCAGATTTTTTTTCCTCGCTAGAATTCCCAGGAAAAATCTAGGAGTCTTTCCTAGCCTATCATCTCTGTCCTCCTAAGGCTGGTTACAAATGTTTTCCCCCAAATAGCATCCTTGCAGTGCTGAGATCAACCATTTCACATACTCCATCCTTATGTGCAAAAGATGTCTACATAAGCCAAGCCCCACGGTAGTTGTGTTTCCCACCTTGTTAGAAAGGGTCCTCTAGAGTTAAGAATGTAAAAGAATGAGTTTCTCTATATGTAAAATAAAGGGTCATTATTAGAATGAATTACGGACTGTGGTCCAGCTAACCCAACAGTGGCTACCTACGTACAGAAAGTCCAAGAATCCAGTAATTGTTCAGTCCATGAGGATAGACGTCTCAGCTGGTCTTTGGTATATGATGGAATCCTAAAGAAGTAGGCTCTAATGCCAGTGAAGGAATGGACTTGCTACTGAGGTTAGACTGAGTAGGCCAAGAGCAAAAGCTTCCTTCTTCCATGTCCTTATGTAGGCTTTTGAGATGTATGTCTTCCCACCTCAAATGATCTGGATTAAAGATGTGTTTTCCCACCTCAAAGACCTGGATTTGCAGTGGATCTTCCCACTTCAAATTAAGCAAAAATCTCTCACAGCTATGCTCACCATTTTTTGGTTTTAATTAATTCCAGATGCAGTCAAGTTGACAACCAAGAATAGCCACCACACCCGCCCCAATATGAACAATGATTTCACCTTGATGGAGATACACCCTACTTCAGATCACTGTATTAGTGACAGGATCAGGCAGCTTACTAATAGAGAAGAAATTTGGGTCTAGTGAACAAAATAGCCTAAGTTAAAAAAAAAAAAGAAGACGACATTTTCTGGGTTATAAGCATTTTTCTTTTTATGTACTGAATCCCAGGAATAAAATAAACATGAAATTAAATTATCATTCTTACAATCAAGACAACTGTTATCTTCATAAAGAAATTTTTTTTTAAATGGGGGAGATAGCTTTTCAAAACATAGTGATTTTCCTCAAGCAAGGAAGGATCACCTAAGTACCGAGCAGGATAAGCAGCAAGGCATGAGGTTTCCATGGCCATGTGTGTTCTCTATCCCTCATGCATGGTACGTGTTAGGCGACCACTCTACCAAATGTCTGACAGCAGCACTACAAAGGAAGGATTGACTTTAACTTCCATGTTCACCCACTTCTTGGCTGTTTTTTGATCTGGTCATCTTCATGGGTATGCAGTAATGTTTATTCACTGCTTTGCATTTGTATTTCTCTAATGACTAGGTGATACTGAAGATCTTTTCATGTGGTTATCTGAACATTTGACTATTTTGTTTGGAAAAAGTTATATTCAAAACACGTGCCAAAAAAAAAAACAACAACAACAACAAAACACACATGCCAATAGTTGATTTGGTCATTTTTTAATTTTACAAATTATATATTACTCATAACCCTGTTATATGCCACTTGCGTATCTTTTATCCTATTCTGTAGGTAGTGTCCTTTGATGTGGTCCTATTTTTTACTTTCACCTTTGTTGCCTATAACTTTGTCTGGTATCATGCTTTTTAAAAGTATATGTTTCTTTTTGTTTGTTTGTTTGTTTGTTTTTTAGATGTATGTTTCTAATGTGGTAAAAGGCAGGGTTTGACTTTTGCCTATACGTATTAACATTTCCCAAAGAGGCTGACGGAGAAACAGTCCTTTCCCTACTGTTAGTTCTGGTAGATTGTTTCTGAGTTGTCTACCTTGTTCCATCAATCTGTATGGCTGTCTTTATGACAGTATCACAATGTCATTACTATTACTTTGTAGTATGCTTAAAATAAGAATGAGTCCTCTAAAATTTTTCTTGTTTAGACTAGTTTCTCTAAAGGGGCTGCTGCTGAACCTGCAACATATTCCAGATCCCCCTGACAGTAACCAGCAATGCTAAAGGACCTGGTCAACAGAAAGATAACTCGGTGCCTACCCACCAAACCAACATTCACAGCCTGTTCTTTCTATTTCAAACAGTGCTGGGAGTAGATTGCTAACACTGTTAAGTTCAATGTCACGGTCTGTCCCTAAAAACGCTTACTTCTTTTGTTTTGAACAGCACTGTTTTGAGATACCTTTAGGAAAGCTAGAATTATGTATGTCAACAATCTTGGTTTCATAATTTGTGTTGAATTTTCCTGACTTTTGCCAACAGAAAATACAAACTAGACTGTAACTAAGTCTTGTTTTTCTCATCCCTTTAATTTTTTCTGTCTCTCTACCCTTCCTCACTAATGTCTCAGAAACTTAAAAAAATAAAAGCAATACCCTTTAAGGGGGGGAAAAAAACCTGTCTAGAATGTCTACCATGTTAAAATATACAATTCTATGACTTAATCAAATTATTAGCCATACCAATGATTACAGACTTTAAGGGGTTTTGGGTTTGGTTTGGTTTGGTTTGGTTTGGTTTGGTTTGGTTTGGTTTGG